TATTTTCAGCTTTGTTTTCTTTCTCACAACTTCTCTTAGACAAACTCACCAATGTCAACAAGCACAACTACAATTAATTACTTTCGTAATTTACTCTCCCATACGAGCAGGGTTGAAGGTGGATTTTTTTCTTTTGCCCAGTTGGTGAAAGTTATTTGTGGAGAGTTCCTTTAATCGGTAGTTCCTGAATAATACGAAGTCTTCTTTTAAATTGCACATTTTTAATAAATACATTTGTTATTCCTTTACTTTCTATGTGTTTTAGGTTTGGTTAAGTTATCGTTATGGCTGAAATGATGTAATGCTTTCATTTTGCTTACGTACTGAACATGGGATCTCTGTCCTCTTCTGTTGCCCCCCAGTGGCACAGCGGCATGTCTACGGACTTACAACGCTAGAATCCAGGTTTCGATACCCGTGGTGGGCAGAGCACAGATAGCCCATTGTGTAGCTTTGTGCTTAATTACAAACAAACAAACAGTCCTCTTCTGTTATAAATAATGTTATGTTTTCAATCTTTTTATTGTGAAAGTTCGTTTTCCTCCGAACACATCGATTGTTTACTACAAATGTTACAAACAAACAGCTATCTTAAATTTACTGTCAAATAAATAGATTTATAACAATAGGTATATCTCACATTGAATTGTTACTAGTTAACACTAACTGTTGTGACAAGCGTGGTGAACAGCACGTTTGTCAGTTGATACTGAGTAAAGTAGCTATAGTAAATGTGCAATACCAAATTTCTATAATACGAAAAGAAATAGCACTAACATGAACTAAAATATATTGTTTAAGATACGTTTACGATTAGGTTAACACTATAGGACAAAACGAGTGACAATCATGGTGATCGTTTGTCAATTTATATTGAGTGAAAGTAGTTATAGCCTATAGTATTTACGAATTAAAATAAGTATACGAACAAAATTGCCCTCATAAATGTAAACAAACAATACCAAATTTCTATAATAAGGAATGAAATAGCACTAATATTACCTAATTTAATGGTATGAGCAGGGGATGAGATTTGGCAGACATATTGTTCATGTATCACGCATGTGCATATGTGCTATGGGGGATGAGATTGGGCGGCACACCCACCGCCTATGGCTACCAGATTATTTCACTAACTAACAAATGGCATGCAACGTATGTTGTCAATTATAAAAACCAACAACTGACAGCTAAACAAAAACACCGATAGGCAATCAAAAGCTTACAATAAAATCTAGCTAAGGTAATCTGAAAGAGGGGTTTAACAGTAAAAATTCCACTGTATTAACATGATGTATTAAACCATACTCAGACGTGATGATGTAACCGGTTAAACATTATCTGGGTAAACACGCTGGCCTTACGTTTAAGTTTGTGATTGGACGAGCGTGTTGCGCAATGTTTCGTTTCTAGTGTTTAGTTTTGGTTTCGTTATGAAAAATAGATAAAAATTGAACCACAATTAACTGAGCCGCGAGTTGGAGAGTGTAATTGTGGATCACGAGACGATTTGTTTTAAAGTTGCAGTACGAACAGTATTTAAAAGGGTAAGTTTCTAATAAGTTACACTCGTGTGTCATAGAAATTACTGTAATGAGAAACTTTTACTTTAGCCTAGGCTACTAACTAAGATAGTACTTAATATTAATAAAGCGTATCATGTAAATGTGCTTTTTTTTTACTTTTAGTGTCTGTGTTCCGTAACTTAGTAATAGTAATTACTAAATCTCGGTAAGTACAAATAAAGGAAAAAGAAGCTAAATTATATATAAGTATCTTTTGTTGTGTTGATAGCACTGGAAATTGGAATACCACTATAGTCTACAGTACAGCTTTTACCAGTTTTGGGAAACATCTACAAAAAGTGTTACTTAATCAATTACTCTTTGGTTTTATAGTAATACATTTTTCATCAATTTTTATTAAAATGTAAGGCTACTTATAATTACCATATATGATATAGTATACAACTGAGTTCAAACTTCAATGTACTGATAAGGATATTTGATAAGTCCACAAGGTAAGTGCAGTTTTTCAATTAAATTTGCGTTGGTGATAATATGTCTTCCCAGGATTTTATAATATCTTACCAGTAAGTACTGACGTTAGAATTATTACATTTTGATTTTTATTAAAGTTCTACAGTACTGATAATATGCAAGACTTCTTTTTACAACCTTTATTCACTACACAAACTACTGAGCTTTGAGCGTTTATAAGAAAAACTATATTCACTAGAAAAAAACTGCTGTCATCAAGGAAGCCCCTTATATAAGTCTTCATGATGTGTGAATAACTTTGAGAAGAAAGTTTTGGGGAACAACCACTACAGCACTGTTAATGATTCACAAAATATAGCAAGTTACACTGGATGTCAATTTATACACTAAGCTAACAGTACAAAGTAATCTTTCTAAGTGTACAAAATGAAATGAAATATTCAAAAATATTACACATTATTATCAATAACATTAATGTTGGGCTAACAAAAACTAAATAACTCTTAAAATTAGTTTAAAATATTCAAAGTTATCATAAATAATGTAACCTCAAAAACCAAAGAAATTAATAGTAACAGTGAAAAGAAAAATTCCAGTAAATTGCTAACTTGATCCACACAGCCGAGCAATAGATGAAACATAACTCCATCCACACAGCCGAG